CCTAGGGAGGATTTTATTTGGGGTTTATCTTTTAACAATTCGACAGAGACACAACTTTAAAATTTGATTTAATTCGGTTTTATCGGGGGGGAATGTATTTATGTTTTGTTTTAAATATGTTGTGCGCCGCCCTGAGTCCCGTTGGGAGAAGGGCGGCATATAAATTAAATTTATTATTATTATTATTATTATTATTACTCCTGGCTGCAAGCAACCTCCAAAAATCTTGCTTTTGATTTCTGGACCAGCTCCAGTTTTCAACATAGCTGCAACCAGAGAACACTTCATCTTTATAGCAGTGAAACACCAATACAAAATAAAACTTAATAGTATGGAACAGGTTAATCTGGCAAAACCCAGTTTTATTCCAAGCATGCTTGTGCTGTTCTGTCATGCTAGGCTCTAGCAAACCTGCTAGACTATAGACTATTGTCTACATCCCATTAACTTGGAAATACATGCAACATGCTGGCACATTATCCTATATCTCTATACCAGTGGTTCTCAACCTTTTTAATGCCGCGACCCCCAACCGGTCGTAAGTCGAGGACTAAACCGGTCGTAAGTCGAGGACTAAACCGGTCGTAAGTCGAGGACTACCCAACCGGTCGTAAGTCAAGGACTTTCCCTGCCCGGGAGCGCCACACATGCATCGTTCCGCCCCCTGCGCCGGCCGAGGCGTAGCTGGCAAGCGGCAGAGACGGAGCAGGCCGACCACCAGCTGGCCCAGCCCAAGGGAGGTAAGGCACCTGCCGGAAAAGGGGGAAAAAATGGCGGACAAAAAAAATGGCGGACAGCCTTGCTTGGCGACCCCCATGAAACGGTCGATCGACCCCAAATGGGGTCCCGACCCACAGGTTGAGAACCACTGCTCTATACCATCAGTCTCTCTTGCTCAAACTACTCTTCCTACAAAGAAACACAATTATGCACACATAAACATCCACAGAGTTTTCCTCTTTCTACCAGAAATAGCAACAAAGAAAGGAGGGAGGACCAAAATAGAGTGGGTGGCAAAATTAAGAAAAGAGATATTATAAAAAAGATTAAATTTAGTAGTAAAGCAGTTCTTTCCAAGTAGCAGCTCATTTTCAAGGCATCCTCTTTCAGCTGGACTATCTAGTCTTTTCCATTTTGGGACCATTCCTTCTTTTCTATTCTTATCAGCTAATTTGAGATGACCCCCCAAATATTTATCCTGATAAATATGCCATACAACTTATTCTGCACCAATACATATTCTGTCTTGAGTTGTTTAGTTTTGTTTTGGAACTAGGCAGGACACCTGGCAAGAACATGGACATGTCCCTGTAGATTTCTAGGCAATATTTTTAGAAATGATTTGTCTTTGCCTTCTTCCTAAGGCTAAGATGAGTGATTAGTCCAGTTGACTTCCATGGCTAAAATAGAACTAGAAAGCAGGCTTACATGCTTCTTGTCCAGTATTTTAATCAATAGACCTAATCAGCTCAATTGGAAGTATTTGTTTCATCATAAAAGTTGAATAAAAATTGAATGTTGATCCATCTGGCTTTTGCTAATCTGAATGGTGATAGAATCATTGGTTTCTTTGAGAAGGAAAGTAGAAATAAAACTTAATTCATGATTAGTATGAGCTTCATAGACATTCTGTATTAAAAACTGAATTAGTAAGAATCAATAAGAACTTGAAGAATATCTTCACTGTATTTGCCTGAGAGAAGGGGGTGACTTCCCATCCGCTTTGAAAAAATTCATACAGTTACCCATTAAAGAAATAACAAAATGCACCTGTCTGTATTCTTGGCTTTTGAAGATTAAGGCCTCTGAATCCATAAGAGCACCAATCAAATCAGACTGGATATCTCTTTGTTTTCTCTGTGCTGCTGCATTGCAGAGGTACGCTTTATTGAAATGGCATTACTTGTTTACTTGCTTTCACGTGCCATTAAGAACACTAATCTGGATAGAATCTCATTTACTTTCTGTTTTCTCAGTGAAGTACCTGATGAGAACAACAATTTTTTTAGAATATCCCTTTTATGTTGTGTAAAAGAATGTAACAAGCTTGTATTGTTTTTTTCAAAAACAACAAAAAAGTCAAACAGTAGACAGAATGGCCAACTCAATGTTAAATGCTGAAGTTCTGCAAAATCTTTTGCATAGCTGCTTTAATAAATATAAATACACTTTGAAATACACTTATCCACTGTCATCTTTTATAATTAAACTGCTTATTTGGATGGCATAGTTGGAAAAAAAATTGTAAACCTTAATTTTCTGACTCACAATAGCTCTGCCAAATAGCACTATATTTGATTAATATTACAGAACAAGTCAATCTGATGGCTAGATCCATGATGTAAAAGCAAT